CCAAAGGGCCTCGTAACCCACTGTTCACTTTGTGCGGCTACAAGGACAAGAGGGCAGGGCGCACACCTGGAGGCGGCCTGCAAGCAAACCCAGATGCTCCCGCACCCTGGCCCGGCCCGCCCCCGAGTGGTGAGAAACGCAAGTCTTTGGTTCACAACCCACCCGTCCGTGGGACGTTGCTACTGCAGCCCAAGATGACTAATACCATTTTTACCCTCGACATGGAGAAGCATGCCGTGTTGGCCAAAGCATTAGCAGTGGGGGCCCCAGCTCTACACGGGGTTCACGAGTCCTCAGTGAGGCGCTGCTGTGCAGAGTGACTGCCAGTCCCTATCTGCGAGCTCCTCTTCCTCTAAGAAGCCACTCAGGGACCCTACATTGTACCAGCTTGCACCCACATACAATCCAGAGCACTCATGAGAACCATCTGTATGGGAACAGGCTGCAACATAGCTGTCAATCCACAGGTGGAAGTCAAGAAATTACGGGACATGAGGATGGTGATGAGTGGGTTAGGAACCTAGAGAAAATCACCTCCGGGTGTGCACCAGCTCCCCCTGACAGACTGAAGACTGAAGACCAGATATAGACATATGTGTGGAGGGGCCCTCATGGAGGAGCACAGGAAACCTGGCACAGAAGCAAAAGAGCAGGCCTGGGGGCCCCGGCCTGGGAGAAGTACCTTCCCCTGCATTCTCTTGAGCTGGCCACGTCACATCTCGCCTGTGCACTCCCTCCCAACCACCTTGTTCCTTAAAGTTCCCCTTAAACACAGATAGCAGCTTCTTAGCACAGCGCATACAAAGAGTATTTCCACCCTCAGAATGATTTCTGGGAGCAGCAGCGCCCACTCAGGAAAGCTCCCAAGCCTGCAGGAGGCACAATGCTGTGCCCAGGAGTCAGGAGCAGAGACCTCGCCGCCCCCAGGGTCACCCCCGAGAGCACAGGCAGCACCTCCTGCACCTGCTGACCCGGACAGTGGCTGAGCTCTGCCTCTCCTTGCAGCTGAGTCCCAGGAAGCTGCGTGCGCTGCTCAGACAGGAGAACAGGACCGCCGATGGCTGCCTGATAGGCACGTTGCCCACACTGCTCAAGAGAGGGCAGAAGCCAAAGACAAAAACAAAACAGAAATCAAAAACTGCCAATTAGAGGGGAGTCGCAAGCTTCATCTGTGAGGTGCTGCTAGCATCGATGCGGTGGAAATCTGCACACTCTCAATGAAACTGAACTTGAACTATGAAATTATATTTAATGGAGATTAACTGAGAAAAGAAATCATTTAACACATTTAACAAAAAAAATCATATTTTGATTCCTACTTATCTAAGTGTTTTTTTTTTTTTTTTTTTTTTCTGATAAAGCTGTATGTGCTACAAGAGAACGCCTTCAAACCGGCGTGTTGGCACATGCCTGCGATCCTGGCACTGAGAGGGGACAAGACAGCAGATGGAAAGTTCTAGCCCAGCCTGGATGACTCAGTAATTTTATTGAGATATGGTCTCAAAATTAAATGAATAAATAAATAAATAAGCAGGGCTTAAGTTGTAGCTCAGTGGGAAGATCCTGGGTTCAGGCCTCTGGCATCACAAAACATAAGGAATTCTTGACTCCATGAAGCTACCATGGAATACACCTTGGTATGTGGTTCCTGGGTTGGATCCACCCACCAATCAGCCTCTGAGATTTGCCCCAGACAACTTGTAACAGCCTTTGTGTGAAAAGGGAGAGTGTAATTAACAGGCAATGGCAGGAAGTGGGAAGCAACTGCTTATAGCAAACATTTTCTAAGAAATGCAGATTCCTAGCTAGTACTGCCTCCCAAGCTGCTAAGACCACTCACAAATGAAATCAAGTCTCCAGTGAAGAAAAGGAGACCCCCGAAAGAAGGAGCATGCTCAGCTCCCTTAACTTTCCTCATGCCGCTGCCATCTCTAACTACTGTTTGCGGAAGCCACTCAATATGTAGATTCAGCCCCCAAATCCCAGTGCCTTACTACAGACACATGTTGGCTGCCCCAAAGTAATTAGATCTTGTCCAGCGTCACAGTTTTGGGAACACTGTTAGCAGGAACAGAAAATGCCAGTGTCAAGCTCTTAAACAATGAAGCCTGTTTTACTGTTTGCTGAGTTGTTCTTACAAATAGACTCTTTCAGGCAGACCAGGAATAGATTCTATAATCTACACAAAGAAGAGACAATGAGCTCCATGGGTTCCTAAACTGACCAACTAGATAACCGTGGAAAGGGAACAATAAATATTTTGGTGACATTTTAACAACATTTTTTGTGCTTGATAGACAGCGAAATAAGATAGAAAACATATACCACAGATAATGTCCACTGTGCACTGTAGGATATTATAACCAATGAGGAAGGGCAGGGTGTTTGCTTTGATGATCCATAACACAAGACAGTCACACAGTGGCTTGTGGCTGTGGTAGTCACGCCTTGGCAGCCTTAGCCTGCCTCTCAATGACAACATGAAGCTGGCCTCCCTCCAGAAAATCCAGAGAACTGCAAAGGCAATTACAACATATGTGAACGCACCCAAGTTCTTCTTAAACTTCTATCATCAAGAAGAATCCAAAAGAAGAAAACAAAGACACTCTGTGAAAGGGCTATACGTTGAGAAATTTTTTAAAAATTTGATAAAAAAGAGAGAAAGCGGGTCAGATAGCTCAGTGGATTAAAGTGCCTACGGAGGCAGATGCAGGGGCCCGGGGTTTGATCCCAGCCTGCTGCGCTGGCCACGTCCCCAGGGAGGGCTGAGACATTGACTGAGACCACCTGGTAGCACGGGCCTGTAATCCCATTGCTTGGGAGGCTGAAAACAGGAGTATCACTACCAGTCTGATCTGTGTAGTGAGACCCTGTAGACCCTATAGATCCCATACTAAATATATAAACAAATAAAATAAAAAATAAAAACAGAGAGAGCTGTTTATCAGAGAAATAACTGAGATATTAAGTGCCTGGAGGTGTGTCTCACTGCCTGATGAAAACCTCTTACATCCAGACACAGAATGCTGATGTTCCAAGCACATGCCTTCAGGAAAAAAAAAAAAAAAAATTCGTTGCTGAATCAGACTAGGGACTTAGAGCAGTTCCTGCTCATCTGACACACCAGACAAATCCAGCTCTTTTATTTTTTAACATATAAAGAATCTGAGTGCATCTCCACTGGAAGAATAAAATAAGGAAAGAGGAAATGTAAGATATGGGACAAGTTACTGTCAACTAATTCGTGCCACTGCAGGCTCTCTTGAAGCAGTGTCAAAGGTAGAATAATAAGTGATGGACCATGACTGCTCCACCTGCCTGGAATACTGAAGAAACAGTGCTCAGACCTGACTTCCAGACGTGCCTGCAGCAGCTGGGGACAAGGACCATGAGCACACCCCGGATGGCGCAACACTGTGGGCAGAGGCCTCGGCACGGCCAGGCTCCTCCTGCTCCTCCTCAGAGGCTGCGTGAGATTCCTGTACCTGCTCACCTCAGGAGACGAGCTGTCCTGGGCGGAGAGGTCCTTCAGTGTGAGAGCCCTGAGGACAGATCTCGGTGGGGAAGACACTCACGTGTCTCATGCATGTAAGGTTTTAAAAATATACAACACCCAAGGCAGAGAAAATGAAGATGCAAAATGACAGCACAGCATATGAGACTGATTAGATGAAGTTTCATGTGACACGTGTGATTTTGTATTTTCTCTCTCCTTTTCTGGATATGCTACTCTGTTTTTTCTGAGGCAGTGGAGAAACTAGATGTTCACTTAAGAAATTAAGTGAGGTTTTAGGCCTGAAGGATGTACTTTGCTTTCATAAACTGGAAAAGAATACAGATTTGTAGAATCATAGGCCACAAAGTATGTTTCCTATGAAAATGGAAGGGGAAAGAGGAAATTAATAAATCTATACAACTTTTTAAAGAACTTAAATGAAAGAAATTAACCAATGTAAGGCAAATCCACTTGGGGCACAGGAAGACAGAGATGAATCCAGTCATTAAAACTGGTTACTGTAGGAGGCAGAATAGAGGACGGCAGGTGGGGGGAATTACACTTTGTCTTACACAGACTTTAATTGATTCTCTTGCTATGATATTAATAGGCATACTTTACTTTTTACAGATACAACACAATCTAAACAAAGAAAAGAAAATGCTTTCAAACCCTAAGCCAATCCAGCAAATGCGTCCACATCATCTGCTCCCACTGGGCCTCTACGGCTCCCACTCCCTAAGCATGTTCACCTGAAAGAGGAAAGCAGCAAGCAAAGGCAGAAACTGAGAGGCAAGGGGCAGAGGCAGCTACAAAAGCAAACCGACGCATATCTGGGACATTCCCAAAGCTTCCTGTCCCAGCTCAAATCCTCATGCTTCTCTGCTCCCACCTCACGCAAAGGTCAGGAGCACAAAGGGCCAGAGGGGAAAGGGGGCTGGGGGCACAGCAGACAGGAGGGCATCCAGGAGCCAAGGCACAGCAGCAGAGAAGGGGGTGCAGCCCAGGCAGAGGCCCAATGGTTGGTGTCTGCTGTGGTGGCAGGGCTGGGCCTCACACCTGTCCCCCATGGGGTCTGTGTAGGTGGGGTCACACCAGGGGCCCTGTCCTCTGTCCTGCTCTGCAGCTGCCAAACGCCCAGGAAATCCCAGTGTGATCCTTGCTGAGCTGCAGGCTGCAGCGTCTGCCCTCTCCTCCGCACCCTGGGGATCCTCTCCCAGCTCCCTCCTGCTCTGGCCTTCTGCCTGGAAAAGGAGCCCAACAGGCTGTCAGGCAGCACCCAGGACAGCCAGAGAGGAGCTGACTGGGCTCTGGTTCTTGATCCTTTGCCACGCAGGAGAAGAAGCCCGAAGATGGCTTAGCCAGCAGAGAGTCCTGAGATGCAGGGGGCCTCGGCCTGTGAGGATTGCCCCAGGAGCACACCACACACACAAGTGTGCCTTCCACTCCGTGGTGCGGGGAGGGCAGGCGTTTAAAATGCAGGCAGTGTCTGGGTCTAGCCATGGAGAAGGAGCCAGACGGCCACGTAGACTGAGCTACACTGACTGGGCACTGAGTGGGACACACGGGACCCTGGAAATGGGCAAGGGGCAGGGCGGACAATAGACATGTGTGAGGGGAGAGCAGTGAGAGGTGGGGTACCAGGCCCTGAGTGCCAGGAGCAGCCCCAGTGCTGGCCAGGCCTGAAGATGCTGCAGGCAGAATGTGCAAGGGAGAGCGTGGGGCGAGGTGGGCGGCAGCATCACACGCACTGGAGGCGTGTCCCTGTGTGCAGCACCTGCTGCTCAGGGCTGGCTCCAGGGCTCCCAGGACCACCTGTGCCTTGCTCTGCCTGGCCCTGAGCTTGGGAGATGCTAATGCAGAATAACCTGGGCTGGGAGGGAGCACAGCAGGGAGCAGAGAAAAGAGAGGAGGCTTCCAAACCTACTGCCCCCATGTTGCCCTCTCCATCCACCTGGAGCAGGCAGTAGGACAGCGGGACAGGGTCCCGGCCGGGACCAGGCCACAGTGAGGCACTGGGGGCCCTGCTGACCAGGGAGGGTCCTGCTTTCTGTGCTCAGCCATCCTGGCCTGTTGTTCCCAGCAATCCAGGGAGCTCCATGGCCATGACCAGCTGTTACCTTGCTCACTGAAAGGAGCAACAGATGCCAGAACAGTCCTGAGCCCGCTTCCTAGCTGGGAACACAGGAGCCACGCTGATCTCCCTTGCCCGTTGAGGTCCATGGCTCCTGTGAGTGGTACTCAGTGCCTCAGTGCCCAATACTCTGGCAACTTCCCTGGGCTGTGAGCAGCCCCTACTCCTGCCCTCAAACCCTGGGTACAGCAGCACCTTCTCTTCCTAAGCCCCAGTCAAGTTTCCTGGCTATGCAGGGCCTGAGTAGTGACTGGGAACAGGCCTGACAGCTCCTCTCCAGGGGCACTGCCAGGAACATTACCATAGGAGCTATGCTGGGCCTAGGCCAGTGCCCCCAGGGATGGGAGGAGAGAGGGCGCCAGAGGGCCAGAGCAGTGGGTGGAGGTGCAGAGCCAGTAGGGCTGAGCACCAGCAGCAGGAGGGGCGAGGCAGGCAGGGGCAGGCAGGAGACTTTGGTTCGAATTTGGGCTTAAGACTGACAGGCAGGAGCCAGGCCCCTGCTTCTCAGGCTGTAATGTGACCCATGCTGGGGGGGGGGGGGCCGGATGCTGCGGGGTGCTGTGGGCAGGTGCAATGGCCTCCTGGCTCCTCCCAGCGCCCAGGGGATTGGAGAGCAGCCACTGGTGGCAGAGGGATGGGCGCTCCTCTGCAGGACACCGGGAGGCTGGTTTGGGTGAGGGGCCCCATACCCCACATAAAGACCCTCGGCCCATAGCAAGGGAAGGTTCCTAGAAACAGGGCGGAAAGGCAGTGGGGCATAAGGAGGGTGCGGTGGGGTCGCTCCTCCAGCTCTTGCCCCAGACAGCACACTCACAGCGCCCCCAATAGGCGCCCCCGTAGTGCAGAGGCCCTGAGGGAGGGCCCCCAGACTTTGCAGCCTGTGGCTCCCAAGCTTACCTTCCACCGGCTCCAGCTCCACGGTCTGCGCCCCGGGGATCCTCGGTGCAGCTGAGTCTCCCAGAGCTCGCGGGGATGCGCGCTTCCCCTTGGGTCTGGTGACCCGGCTCGGCCGAGGCCGGCGTTCGCTGCGCGGGGACTCGGATGCCTGGTGGAACCGGGCTTGGCGCTGGGAGCTTGCGAACGCGCCTGCAGTGGCTGAGCTTGGTCGCGGGTCTCCTGCCCGCGGGTCCGGAGCGGCGCTGGAAGGAGCGCAGCCCGGCCCGCCCCTCCGTGCGCCCCGCCGCCCGCCCTGTCCCCTCCTCCGGGAGCGGAGCCCGCCCTCCGGCCTGGGCGGCGCGGGAGACGCGGGGACGGGAGGGG